GGGGTGATTTGGAGGGATTTTGAGGAATTTGGGGTGGAATTTTGGGGATTTGGGGGGAATTGGGAGGGATTTAGGGGGGATTTTGGGGGGATTTGGGGGGAATTTGGGGAAATTTCGGGGGGGATTTGGGATTTGGGGGGAAATTGGGTGGAATTTTGGAGGAATTTCATGGAATTGGGAGGGATTTGGGGTTGGGATTTCAGGGCTGGATTTGGGGGTTTTGAGTGGATTTGAGAACTCCGGGGTTTTGATTTGGGGCTGGATTTGGGGCTGAAATTTGGATTTAGGGCTGGATTTGGGACTAAAGTTTGGATTTAGGACTAAATTTTGGATTTGGGGTCAGATTTGGGACTGAAGTTTGGATTTGGGGTCAGATTTGGGACTAAAGTTTGGATTTGGGGCTGGATTTTGGATTTGGGGTCAGATTTGGGACTAAAGTTTGGATTTGGGGCAGATTTGGGATTAAATTTTGGATTTGGGGTCGGATTTGGGACTAAATTTTGGATTTTGGGCTGGATTTGGGACTAAATTTTGGATTTGGGGTCAGATTTGGGATTAAATTTTGGATTTGGGGTCGGATTTGGGACTAAATTTTGGATTTTGGGCTGGATTTTGGATTTAGGGCTGGATTTGGGACTGAAGTTTGGATTTGGGGCTGGATTTGGGACTAAATTTTGGATTTGGGGTCAGATTTGGGACTAAAGTTTGGATTTGGGGTCAGATTTGGGACTAAAGTTTGGATTTTGGGCTGGATTTTAGATTTAGGGATGGATTTGGGACTAAAGTTTGGATTTGGGGCTGGATTTGGGACTAAGGTTTGGATTTGGGGCTGGATTTTGGATTTAGGGATGGATTTGGGACTAAAGTTTGGATTTGGGGTCAGATTTGGGATTAAATTTTGGATTTGGGACTAAATTTTGGATTTGGGACTAAATTTTGGATTTGGGGTCAGATTTGGGACTAAAGTTTGGATTTGGGGTCAGATTTGGGACTAAAGTTTGGATTTGGGGCTGGATTTGGATTTTGGGCTGGATTTTGGGCTGGGTTTGGAGCTGAATTCTGAATTTGGTGCTGAAATTTGGATTTTGGGTTGGATTTGGAGCCGATTTTGTATTTTGGGCTGGATTTTGAGCTGGACTTTGGATTTTGGGCCTGAATTTGGTGCTGAAATTTGGATTTTGGGTTGGATTTGCAGCAGATTTTGCATTTTGGGCTGGATTTTGTATTTTGGGCCTGAATTTGTTGCTGAAATTTGGATTTTGGTTTGGATTTGCAGCAGATTTTGTATTTTGGGCCGGATTTTGAGCTGAATTTTGGGCCTGGATTTGGTGCTGAATTTGTTGCTGAAATTTGAATTTTGGGTTGGATTTGGAGCCGATTTTGTATTTTGGGTTGGATTTGGAGCAGATTTTTGATTTTGGGCCTGAATTTGGTGCTGAAATTTGGATTTTGGGTTGGATTTGGTGCTGAAATTTGGATTTTGGGTTGGATTTGGTGCTGAAATTTGGATTTTGGGCCGGATTTTGAGCCGAATTTTGGATTTTGGGGCCGGATTTGTGGCAGCCCCGATCCCCAAATCCCCGAATCCCCGAATCCCGCAGAACCTGAGCGCGGCCGAGGGCCCCAATTACGTCTCTGCCGGCGCCGCCCCGTCCCGGCTGCCCCAGCGCCACTTCTGCGCCGTCTGCGGCTTCCCCTCGGGGTACACCTGTGTCACCTGCGGGGCCAGGTACTGCTGCACCCGCTGCCTGGGCACGCACCAGGACACCAGGTACCCGGAAAAGTGGGAAAAAACCCGGGAAAAATGGGAAAAACTGAAAAAAAAGGGAAAAACGGCAAAAAAAAAGGGAAAAACGGCAAAAAAATGGGGAAAACAGCAAAAAAAATGGGAAAAACCAGCAAAAAAATGGGAATGAAAACAGGAAAAATGGGGGGAAACAGCAAAAAAATGGGGGAAAAACCCAAAAGATGGGAAAAATGGCAAAAAAAGTGGGAAAATGGCAAAAAATGGGGAAAAACAACCAAAAAATGGGAATAAACCACCAAAAAATGGGAATAAACCGTATGGGAATGGGTTACCTGGGAATGGGGACACACCTGTGTCACCTGCGGGGCCAGGTACTGCTGCACCCGCTGCCTGGGCACGCACCAGGACACCAGGTACCCGGAAAAGTGGGAAAAAAACAGGAAAAATGGGAAAAACGGCAAAAAAATGGGAAAAAACGGCTAAAAAAATGGGAATAAAAACAGGAAAAATGGGGAAAACGGCAAAAAAAAGGGAAAAACAGCAAAAAAATGGGGGAAAAACCCAAAAGATGGGAAAAATGGCAAAAAAAGTGGGAAAAACAACCAAAAAATGGGGAAAAACAACCAAAAAATGGGAATAAACGGTATGGGAATGGGTTATCTGGGAATGGGGACACACCTGTGTCACCTGCGGGGCCAGGTACTGCTGCACCCGCTGCCTGGGCACGCACCAGGACACCAGGTACCCGGAAAAGTGGGAAAAAACCCGGGAAAAATGGGAAAAACGGAAAAAAAACGGGAAAAACGGCAAAAAAATGGGAATGAAAACAGGAAAAATGGGAAAAACGGCAAAAAAATGGGGAAAAAACCCCCAAAATGGGAAAAAACGCCACGGGAATGGGTTACCTGGGAATGGGGACGCACCTGTGACACCCAGATCTTGTGGGGGGAGGGGTCACGCCCCGGTGACCCCCCCTGACCTTTCCCTCCCCCTCCCCCGCAGGTGCCTGAAGTGGACGGTGTGACCACGCCCACAACATGGCTGCCGCGACTTCACCGCAAAATGGCCGCCGCGTCCACGCCGTGTTTGATCCCGGGCCTAAAATGGCCGTCGTGGCTCCACCCCCAAGATGGCTGCCATGGCCACACCCCCAAGATGGCTGCCATGATGCCATTTCCAAGATGGCTGCCATGGCCACACCCCCAAGATGGCTGCCATGATGCCATTTCCAAGATGGCTGCCATGGCCACACCCCCAAGATGGCGGCAGCCGAGCCCATTTTGAACCAAAATCCAGGTTTTTCCTACCAAAATCTTTGGGATTGAATTTATTGGGGGGGAGGAGGAGCTACAGGTGTGGGGGAGGGGCAGAGGGAAGGGGGCGGGGCCTCGGGAATGGGGGAAAATCCGGGGAAAACGGGGAAAAATTCCGGGAGAAACGAGCTGGAACCCCACCCCCGCGCGCTGGCCCTTTAAGAGCGGAGCTGCGCCGCCATTGGCTGGCGCTGGGGGGTCCAAGATGGCCGCCATGGGCGCTGATTGGACGGGCATCCCCTGAGGGCTCCGCCCCTTTTTGGGAGTCAAAATCCTATTGGCTGCTGGGGGCCTGCCCCGAGAACAGGCACCGCCCCTTTTAGGGCAAAGCCCCGCCCACAAAACCAATCCCCGCCCCTTTGGGTCAAACCACACCCCTTAAAGGGCCAGGCTCCGCCCACACAAGCCCCGCCCCCTCTGTTCCAAGCCACGCCCCCACGTCTCTTCATCCCTTCGTCGTGCCCAGGCTCCGCCTCCCGTGACGTCACCAGGGCGGGGTCCCTCGGCGGCCAATCAGCATTGGCGCTGCCCCTTGGGGCGGGGCGGGGCCGCCTGTAGCTGTGGGGATAATGAGATGCAAATGAGCTGGGGGAAGGTGAATGGGAGGGGCTGGGCGTGGCCAGCTGAGGGGCGTGGTCAGTCGCCTGCCTGGGGGCGGGGCTTGTTGCAGCTGGGGGGGTGTCCCTGCTCACCTGATGGGCGTGTCCCCGTGTGGGCGTGGCCGTTCTTACCTGCTGGGTGTGGCTCACTGGGGGCGGGGCTTAACTGGGCGTGGCCATTCTTACCTGCTGGGTGTGCCTGATTGGGGCGGGGCTTAACTGGGCGTGGCCATTCTTACCTGCTGGGTGTGCCTGATTGGGGCGGGGCTTAACTGGGCGTGGCCATTCTTACCTGCTGGGTGTGCCTGATTGGGGCGGGGCTTAACTGGGCGTGGCCATTCTTACCTGCTGGGTGTGGTTCACTGGGGGCGGGGCTTAACTGGGCGTGGCCATTCTTACCTGCTGGGTGTGGTTCACTGGGGGTGGGGCTTCCCCTCAGCTATGTGGGCGTGTCCCAGCTGTGTGGGCGTGGCCTCGCTTTGGGCAGCGCCAAATGGGGGCGGGACTTCTCAGCAATGTGGGCGTGTCCCAGCAGTGTGGGCGTGGCCACACTCGCCTGGTGGGTGGGGCAAAATGGGGTGGGGCTTTCAGCTATGTGGGTGTGGCCTCACCTGGTGGGCGGGGCCAAATGGGGTGGGGCTTATTGGAGGCGGGGCTTCCCTCAGCTATGTGGGCGTGTCCCAGCCGTGTGGGCGTGGCCACACTCACCTGGTGGGCGGGGCTATTTCAGCACCTGGCCCGGCCGCGCCTTCTCCAGCTTCCGCCGGCGCTCGGCCGGGATCTCGTCCAGGCTGATCCCGTGGTTGCTCGCACTGCGGGGTTTGGGGTGAATTCGGGGAATTTTGGGTCATTTTGGGGTTTTTATTTTTGGGGTGTTTTTTTTGGGTTTTGTCGTTGTGGTTTTGGGGTTTTTTGGGGGGTTTTTTGGGGTTTTTCAGGGTTTTTGGGAGCGGGGGTGGGTTTGGAGGTCTGCACCCCCTCAGTGCGTCCCTGGACTCGGGACCCCCCACTCACCCCATAACCTTCACCCCATAACCTTCACCCCATAGCCTTCACCCCATAGCCTTCACCCCATAACCTTCACCCCATAGCCTTCACCCC